GGAAATAAAATATTCGTTTGAATCCAATGTACAGAATGTGTAAAAATGTTTTTCCAGAGGATAACACTGTTATTTTGAATGGCATCAATAACAAATTTTATACCAAATTAAAGCACGTCAAGAATGGACTTTAATAGTATTAAATAGTAAGAATTATGGTATGTTTTGAACGTCGAATGCATGAAATTGTTAGAATCTGACGTCATATTAGCAAGGAAAAATTTCTTGCATGAGTCTGTTCAAGCTAGATCTGAATTTAAATGATGAATATCACAAAGTAATCCACAGCTAGCCTGGAAATATTGGAACCATAAACCAAAAATTCAGTTGAAAAAAATGTTATCATAGACGGAAGATAAACGCTATCATGAAGAAACTCAGAAAAACCTATTTCGGGTATTTTGACAAACATGGAAACAAATATTGAGTTATCTCAAACTCTTTTATATTGGTTTACGTCTCATGTTCATGCTGTAAAGAACGCTACTGGTTCTCATACGGATTACTGATTGTATTCATCAAAGCCTAGAAAATACAAGTTATATTGTTATATTCATCATTTAAAATCAGATCTAGCTTGAAATGATACATGCAAGAAATGTTTCCTTTCCAATATGGCTTCAAATTCTAACAATTTCATGAATTCGACATTGAAAAGTTTCCATAACTCTTACTATTTAATATTGGTAAATCTCACGTGCCAGACGCTTTAATTTGGTATAAAATTCGTTATTGACTTCATTTAACCCTTCGACGGTGTCCTCATTTTATAACTTCATCGGTGTCCTAGGGTCCGCCTGGACTCGTGTATAGAAAATTTGAGAAAATCAATACTTTTGTTTTATTTAAGCAATGCATTTGTGTACTAGAAGTGTTCACATATTCTGCTTATGAACATTTATGCATTAGCTTTCCTGGAAACCATATAAAGATAAACAATACTGAAAAAAACTTGTCTGAAAGTGTTTTTATAACAATATTCATATATAAGTCCAAAACTGTTTACTCAATCACTTTAGCCTAGAACATTAGATATACTATGGCATGTGCACAGATACAATTTTCTATAAATAAGGGGACCAAAAGTTCTTTTCTTTATTTATTTTTATTGTTATCTTTCTTTTTTATAATTAAAAACAGTAAAAACTTGGTTTTTTTATCACAATCATAGATTTCTCACCGTATAGGGAAAAAATATGATGATTACTATTAATCATGAACATAAAATGACTCATTATAAATATATTCGGAAAAACAATAGGAAGGCAACAGATGGAAGGCACAGTAAGACGAAAAATGACGTATATAACACAGTGGCTGTTCTAGGGTTCAACTAGACCCATACCTGTATTTTTTCCTGCTTAGACCCATATATAATTTCTCGTCTGCATATAATGCAGCTACCCAAGACTAGAGATTAGAGAATAGGACTGATCTGAAACACCAAATGGAAACGTTGTATTACACGAAAAACTGTCAAGTGGGTCCACTTGGACCCCACGACACCGTCGAAGGGTTAAAATAACAGAGTTACCCCTGAAAAAACATTTCTACACATCCTGTGAAATCAGTGAAAAGATTTTTATCATAGAGAACAAGATAATTACATACCAAGTGATCCAATCAATATCAAAAACACTTGAAAAAGCACCGGTAACTATGCCTGTTGGAAGAATCCAAGGAATTCGTTCTGTTGTACGTCGAGATTTAGAAGACATGCGAGCAAAACCTTGAAACGCTCCGCTTTGGTTAACAGAAACAAATAAAATTGCGCTTCGATGATCCTAAGTAGAATTTAAAGAAAAAATATGTTGTGGTTTTTGTTGAAAAAATTTTTACTCGAAAAGCTCGATTTAATTTCTGTTCAATGGATGGCCGTATTGACCATACACCCTTAAATACTTAAAATCATATTATTTATATAATAAATATCGGTTTTACTTTGGTTTTAGCAAATGTTACATTTTCTGCATCAGCGGTTTTTAACACAAAACAAGCAGCATCATAGAATAAATGTTGAAGTGTAGCAGCAGCTGTTCAATTAAAAATATTTAGAAAAAAAATAGTGAATAATTGATATGATCGAAAATGATTTACAACATAATAGTAACTCGTTTCGTTTAAGTTTGTATCGGCTAAATCTAATACATAGTCAATGTTTCTTAACATATCTTATTGAATATATCATCCTTTTCATCTTGAAGAACTAATTCCACAATCAGAGAAAACGACTAGACTTTCTTACTAGAGGTTTTTCAGCTGAGACACTATGTATCGTGCAGATTCTAGCAAGTTAGAAATATCTTGAAAAGAGTTCATGAGTAGTCATGCACCAAAACGAATTGACACAGCGTTACGTGGAAGATTTTTTTTCTTTAGGTCTAGCATATATACCGGGTGTCCTAAAAGTCCCTTTTACTTAAAAAAAGTTAAGTATTTCCGTTCCGTTCCACTTTGAAGAGCTCATTTTTTTGCACATCGTTAGATATGTCCTTGAAGTTTCTATGGTTATGAATGAAAATTATAAATAGTGTTCAAATATCTTATGTTTGATCAAACTACAGAGATTCAAGCTTTTTTGTTTATCCAAAAAAGATCTCATATTTTAATATTATTTGATTATTCTAGATTTGCGTAGTTTTCCAATGATTGACATGATGCACTGTGGTTTCGATGGTTTTCCTGCAGATGTTCTAATCAGAAAGGTTCAGTTAACTCAAATTCAGCAACATAAGTGAAAAAAGCATTGAACCATAGCGGTTGATGTTAATTATTGTAAAACTAAAAGAATTCAGAAAAATCAAATAATATAAGAATAGGAGTTTTTCTTGGAAAACCAGAAAAGCTCGAGTTTTTGTATTTTGATCAGACATAACACAATGGAACATTATTTATAATTTTCATTCATAATCATCAAAACTTCAAGGACATAACTATCACCAAGCAAAAAATGAGCTCTTCAGACTATAATGGCTTGGAGATACTTAATTTCTTTAAGTGAAAAGGTCTTTTGGGACAACCAATAAATCAAATTCTACAAAAAGAAGCATTGTTTTCGGAAATACGATTTTAGAACGATTATCCATATATACCTATCTTTTTCATATATATTTGAAGAAAACTTGTACACGCATACACATATCTTATTATAGATAAAGAATAACAATATATATATCCTCACTTTTCAATCATTGAGCAACAGTTAATGAAGGATTTCTCGAAAAAACACCAATATATTACACAGTCTAACAAACATTCCGCCATACTTTATGTGATCCTAGACTCTGTGCTTTTTATTACTTAATAATAAGTTTAGTCAGATACTATTGTAATAAATATGTTAATTATTGAAAAAAGTTTATTTGAGTACTACAGATATCTGATTGAATCAATTGGTCTATTCGAAACGAGACAAAATGTCCTGTATAACCAGTACAACTTTTCGGAACCTGTGCGTGGACTGAAACGAGGCTTTTTCTCTAAATTTATTAAAAATGTATTTTTCAGACCGCACTGTCAGGAACAAATTATGAATAGTTCGCAAAAAAACCTTCAATTCTTGTACGCTTATGGTTTCTAGAAAACATCTGCTTTTGATCGATGTATAATATTATACTAAAACTGCATTTCAAAGAGATATTTATTGGAGTTTACAGAAAGCATCATGGCTCTATTCTTTAAAAATCAGGTTTTTTTCCAATGTCTCAGAGCCTTAACACCAAAACCAAAAGCAATATCATCATATATTAAAACTATATCAAAACCATTACTTCCATACCAAATCCAAAACTTCAAAATTACTATTGGTATTGGTGCATATCTATTCATGACTTGCTCTAAACGCTACAGACACTGCTTTTGCAGTATTTTTTTTTTTTTGATGAATATTGTAGTCTCTTTTTAGAAAAAAAATCATATTTACAGTGTCGGTGTGGGTATCAGAGATGGGCATAGGACAACTTTTTCTGTCCTGTCCTGCTGTCCTACTTCGTCCTGACGGGCGGCAGGAGAGGACAAAAACTTTAGTTGACTCCCGTCCTGTAGGACAGGGCTGGACACCAGGACAGAAGGACGGTCCTGACGTCATGTCCTCAGATTAATATTGAACGTCCTTGTGGATCTTTCGTAAATTCAGAAATGAAAAATATGCTAAAGTAAAATGGGGAATCAATCAGACTATAAAAGCAACAATAACAATCATCAATTGCTGTTTCTCTGCTAATTTTTCGTCATGATCAATCATTTCTGAATTCACACTTTTTTCGGCAAATGTTAAAATTTAACAAAGAATCAGATCAGATATAGGACTAGCTTGTTCGTTCTGTTCTGTCTTTCTGCCAGTGTTTATCCTGGCGACCGGCATGGTAGGATGAAAATTTCTGCTTCATCCTATCCTGCAGGACAGGACTGCAGGACACTCCTGTCCTGTGCCTATCTCTGGTGGCTATACGTGAGACATGTGTATGTGGATATGCCTGTGGCTCTGCAGGTGGATGTGAGTCTACAGATGATAGTCGTTTATATAGACGCAGCCACATCCACATCCATAACCACATTCATATTGGTCGGACATGAGACATTCGATTTAGATGTAACTGCAAACTTTCTGAAAAATGAAGGTTCCTTTCGTACAGATGCTTACAATTCGATAGTGGTCCATGGTTTTCTTTTTCACCCTTCTTAACATGAATTTGAGAATCCTTTAAGATCGATACACGTTGTCCTGAAATATACACATGAAATTTATT